TTCACACCCTCAAAAAGGGAAAGGGAAGCCAGTTAAGGAGACTTACTGAAAGGAGTATTCTATTGCTTGAACCCAGGAGGCAGAGGCTGCAGTGAACCAAGATGGCGCCACTGCACTCCAGCCTGGGCGACAGAGAGAGACTCCGTAAAAAAAAAAAAAAAAAAAAAAAGAGAAAGGAGTATTCTAGATTTTTAGATGGGGCATGCTGCCTTGCCATAATGGGGGATCAACAACTTTGGATTGTGCATGTCATTCCCGCTGTAATTCTAAAAAGTACATTAGAGCTCTAAAATGGTGGTCTCTTTGGCATTCTCTTCAGCATAGGATTTGGAGTCAGATCTATCTGGTTTGTACCACCTCTATTACTCATGAAAACATGAAAAGAGGTGATAAGAGAGGCTGTCAGGGGGAGGGCAGCTATGACCGAGGAGACTGTCATATCACCTCTGAGCTGAGGTCTGGCTTTGTTGAGTGGATTAAGTTAGATGACATATACGTGAAGTGTTAAACACATCACGTATTCTTAATGAGGTTTACTTCTCTTCTCCAGGAAACTGAGCAGGCTTGAAGGTTGCCTCAGGAAATCATGGCACCAGGCTATAATTCACATCTGTGACAGATGTGAATCTTTACTAACTTAACGAAGGTAGTATATATGGACTGTCTATACCAAGTGTGACATATACCAGCAGGGGAGAAAACTTACCAATATTTTAACTTTACTTTAGTCAAATCATATACTTCGATCACCTAAAAAAAAGTTTAAGAGTTGTCAATGCTCTGAAGGTGATGAGAGACTAAAAACAATTAAAAATACATGTATAGAATAACTAGTAAAAAAAAAAATCTATTACTAACAGAAATTTTATGGAAGCACTGCATGTTGTCTTTTGTTCTCATTTAAAATTTTTAAAAAAACTTTTTGTAGAGATAGAATCCTAGCAAAACTAAAAGACTATGTTGCCCAGGCTGGTCTCAAACTCCTGGGTTCATATGATTCTCCTGTTTTAGCCTTCCAAAGTGCTGGGATTACAAGCATGAGCCACCACGACAGTCCTTTGTTCTCATTTTGAAACTGAGGAGAAAACACACAGCATAACCTCCTCGCCCTCTCCTAGTGGACTGCTCAACAGATGTCCATGGATGCTCTGGGTCAAGGCTCTTACATGCAATCCACTCCTGGGTCAGGCTGGAGCACACACTACCCTATAGGACAATGATCTCTTCCACAGACATGAAGCTTGTTAAGGCTCTGCTTTGGACACTAAGCTCCCTTCCTCCCATCTCATACTTTGCTGCATTTTAAAACCCAGGTCAGGTCGCTTTTGAAAATAGCTTATTTTCACTGGGCACGGTGGCTCACGCCTGTAATCCTAGCACTTTGGGAGGCCCAGGTGGGTGGATCACATGAGGTCAGGAGTTCCAGACCAGCCTAACCAACATGGTGAAACCCTGTCTCTACTAAAAATACAAAAATGAGCTGGGTGTGGTGGCACACGCCTGTAATCCCAGCTACTCAGGAGGCTGAGGCAGGAGAACTGCTTGAACCCGAGAGTTGGAGCTTGCAGTGAGCCGAGATCACGCCACTTGCCCTCCAGCCTGTGCGACAGAGTGAGATGGATGGATGGATGGATGGAAGGATGGCAGGGAGGGAGGGAGGGAGGGAGGGAGGAAGGAAGGAAGGAAGCTTATTTTGAAGTTGATTTTGTTTACAAAACAAAAAGATGGAGGGGGAGGTCTATCCCGTTAGAAAGCAAGCCATAGTATTTGTCACACAAGTATGACAGTATTCAGTTATGTCCCTGATGAAGAGGATCTGGTTGAAACAAGAAAGCCTCAGGACCTTTGTGAAGCTTGCTCTTTAACGGGTTCAGCCTCAGATGAAATTCAAAGAACTCAGGGCAGGGCAGAGATAAAGGAAAAGGCATCACCTAACACTCCGCCATCAGTGGTGCCAAGTAATAAGCACTATGAAGTCCTCCATGCAATGGTGTCAAGGGTTTGGCAGCCAGCAGCACAAGCAGGGGCTCAGAGCACCATCTACCATCCTCCAGCTGGGAGGTTTGGCTCTCATTGTGGAGACACAAGCAGAGCTGGCTCAATATGTTTGTCCTGCCAATCTGACCCTGATTGTGGAAGAGGCTGTGGGGCATTGTATGCAGGAATATCTGGCACTGCCACAGAAACTGAGACATAATAGATAGTAGGTTCACTTTTGGCCAGAGACCCTATCCCTAACTTTATTTAGAGACCACAACACTGAACCAAATTGGAAACTTCTTGCCTACAATGTAGCTCTTTTGATCCTATCTGCTAGAAAGAACTGCTCCCTCTGCTAGGCCATCACAGCACTGGAATGAACCCTTTCCTCCCTACTTGTGTATTCTATTAACTGGTCCACTAAGTTAAGCCCCTTGAGGGACTCATTAATTTGCATAGGGAAGGTGTTCAATTCATGTTAGGCAATTCTACCTGGTGTGAAGCTTGAAAGCATGAAAAGAAGTGCCAGGAGGGGCTGTGGAAGGAAGGGCAGGGGAACAGCTATGATTCAGAAGATAGCCACTGTCCCCTTCAGAATATCTGGGCATGGGAGTATACCATGCCAAACTGGCATGCCATTTTACTGAGGCTTGTCTAGCAGAGGGCCTCTACCTTCAGCCAGAAGGCTCATAGCAGGCGCAGGCACTCACCTCCCTCACTTCTATCCCTACAGCTGGCCAATCATCCCCCAAAGCTTCCCACCACCCGCCCTGTGCAAGTGAGCCTGCACGATATTCCTCCTGTATCACTGGCACCCCACCTGCCAACAGCCATATGGATCCAACACATATAGGTGCTTCGACCCTGCCTGATCAACAGGAAAAGAGTGGACCAGAGCTAATCACAGGGCACGAAGCAGTACTTGTGGCAATGGACCCAGAGTGCTGGCCACCCTGGAGTCTTTCATGTCACCAGGAGCATCAATAAGCAGATTTCATCTCTTGGAGCTTGCTGCACTACAGGGACAAGCCCCTGGGAAGGTTAAAACCCATAATTTTCCACCTCTGGGCTACAGAAGCTCCTGATTTCCCCAGAGGGGATGAGATGTGGCAGCAGCCAAGATAAAAATGGAAAAGACAGGTGGCTGTAAAGGTTGTGACTTATAAAGCCTCATTCCACAGGGCTGTCTCTCTTAGGCTTGAGGCAGCGGGTGGGGAGCAACTGTAGGAGGCAGCATCAGAAGAGGCGGATTCTCAAGGTGTTGGATGGAAGGGCAGGAAGACAGGTCAGGTCACGCTGGTGCCAACCAAAAACATCTGGGTGATTACTTGCTCAGTTTCCAGAAGACTCAGGCAGGACCCCAGTCTCTCCTTCATGGGGATCCCACAGAAAGCAGAAGAGGATTGCCGGTTCGATTTTATCTCCTTTCCTATCCAAAGGTACTTCCCATTCCTCACACTTCTGTACATTTCTTCAGCTTTTCTCATTTATTTCCCAGACCCATCAACAGAGCCTAAGTGGTCAGCTACCACATATTGTCAGTATTGAGTTAAAAGCCTGGCATCAGGTAGCCTACTTATCCTCTCTGTCCCTCGGTTGTCTTGCTAGTAAACAGTTCCTACTCACAGGCGTGTTAGGATTAAATTAGAAAATGCGTGTGAAACACCCAGCCATGTGCCTAGTATGTACTAAGCACTCACTGAACATATGACATTGTCTTCACCATGCTGTGATTCTATGGGCTGCTGGCCATCCCTTTTGTTGCCCATTTAGGTTACTTTCAGCTTCTCATTACCATGAAATGCCATTACCTTCCCCCAGTGTTTCTGGGTTACATTTTCTAAAGTGGACTTTTACCAAGTCAAAGGGAAATGACTACTTGTAAAGGCATTTCCATGTTACTAGATTAATTTCCCCCCAATTAGTGATTATGCCATATTGATGATCATCCTCTGCCCTTTCCCAGTGTGGAACTTCTGGCCATGAAGACAGGATAGAATGAGGAATTCTAATTCCACATACTGATTTTCTTTCCACATTCTGTTTTCTCTCCTTAGCAGTTCACTTGTGACATGGATGATGAGAACTGGGAAGTACCCAAGTCTTTTGGAAAGGCTACTCCGTAACCCAAGGACAACAACTCTGACATGCCACTGCCCAGGGCCCATTCAACCTCATGACTTTGAGGCATGACTCTGGTGTCACATGACTAACCTGTGAGGCCCAGGCATTTATAAACAGAGTATATTATAAACAGACTGGGCTGGGTACGGTGGCTCACGCCTGTAATCCCAACACTTTGGGAGGCCAAGGCAGGTGGATCATGAGGTCAAGAGATCGAGACCAGCCTGGCCAACATGGTGAAACCCTGTCTCTACGAAAAACACAAAAAATTAGCCGAGCGTGGTGGCACGCACCTGTAGTCCCAGCTACTCAGGAGGCTGAGGCAGGAGAATTGCTTAAACCTGGGAGGTAGAGGTTGTAGTGAGCCAAGATTGCCCCACTGCATGCCAGCCTGGGCAACAGAGCGAGACTCTGTCTCAAAAAAAAAAAAAAAAAAAAACTGGGCTGGGCGCGGGGGCTCATGCCTGTAATCCCAGCACTTTGGGAGGCGGGCAGATCACAAGGTCAAGAGTTCGAGACCAGCCTGGTCAACATGGTGAAACCCCGTCTCTACTAAAAATACAAAAAATTAGCCAGGTGTGGTGGTGTGCACCTGTAGTCCCAGTTACTCAGGAGGCTGAGGCAGAAGATTGCTTGAACCCAGGAGGTGGAGGTTGCAGTGAGCCAAGATTGAGCCACTGCACTCCAGCCTGGGTGAAAGAGCTAGACCTCATCTCAAACAAAACAAAATAAAACAAAAAAATAGACTGGACTGAAACAGGTATTAGCAAATTGCACTCAAATGCCAATTAAGATAGCCCCACATATTAGTAAGTTGTTTTATTACATTTCCTCCTCAGGGTTAAAGAATCAACTCATTGCTGGTGTTGTTAACCCAAGCCCCAGCATTCTAGGAAGAACAGTTTCCATTTTCTAACCAAGTTACAGTGTTTGACAAAAGAATAAAGTAAAACTATCTTGTTTTCCTGGACATGAAAGCCCCTTCCCCACAGCATGTTTCCCAAATCTTCAACACTCTTTCACCTTCCCCTCTGGAGCCTGGGAAAGCAGCTCTTCCCAGCCTCTTTTTGACCATCCCAACCACTTCCATTTTCCCTCTTTTTAGGGGAACAGGCACAGCTTCAGTTCCCTACATTGTAGTGATCTCTGAACTAAAGAAGTCCACACCTACTTATAAGTTTTTGAAACATCTCACAATAGCACATACTAATCAGCTCCAGAAAGACTGGCCCAGCTGGACATGAAACATTAGTTGTCATTTATAGTTACCTTAAGTCTCTGATTGAAAGCATCAAACAGTAGTTTGATCCCGTCCTGAGTCAGGTTAAGAATGAGGTCATGGCTTAGAGGAGACTACAAAACAAAAATAAAACACATTCTGAGTAACTGATTTATTCACCGAACACCTACTGAAAGCCTTACAATATAAATGCAACACACAGGGAATATCTAAGTGCAGGCAGTCCCTCTCTCCTCCAGCTAATGATGCTTGGAAACCAGAAAAAAACTGCTGCATGAATACATGGTGTTTTTTACTTCTAGCCTGCAGCTGCTGTTTCTTAATATCGGATGAAAAGAGCCTCTCCCTTCTGGGCTTGAGTAAAAATACCTGGGAAAAGGGACAAAGTTATATGAGTATACAGGTCATTTTCCTTTCAGGATCCAGGGTCCACATATGCAGTATGAAGTTCATTGCCATCGAACCTACAGAGCAGTTGGTGAGGAATACACGTCATGTGAAAAGGCCTAGTCCAGGATCTAAACTCAGTAGATACTGCTTACGCCTATCAGCTGAACCTACATCCATTCACACTCGGGCTGTTCGTACCATCCACAGGCAACACATTTTTATTCTTTGATGGTTTAGATCAAATTCTAGGACAAAGAAATATACTGTGATCTGATTATGAGATGACCCTCTTATCCCTCTTCTCTCTCCCACCAACCTCCCATCCCATTTCATATGTGCTTCTTCCTGAAAAGCCTAAATCTAAGATCTAAAGAGTCACATTTCTGCATTTGCCCCCTCTGAATCCTGGGGGAGGGGAGTAGCAGAACAAAGCAGTGAATAGAACCCTGATGACCTTAGGTAACTCTCAAAACTTCTCTAAGCTCTGGTTTCTTCACAGGAATACCTTCATCCCTTCCCTCCAGGGTTGCTAGGAGGACAGAGACAGTAGGTCAGAAAGCACCTAGCCCAATACCGAGCACACAGCACTCTCCTCTTGTGCCTGCCCCATCTGCGTGCTTCTGGTCCAATTCAATTAATTCCAGGATTCAATGTCTGAAGATTCTCCACAGCCCTGATCGAGGCTGCCCAATAGTAGAAAGAAAAACACCATCTAAAATCCCACCCTTCTTTAACACATAGCTGCTCAAAATATTTAGTTTCTTTCTTTTTTTTTTTTAGATGGAGTATTGCTCTGTTGCCCAGGCTGGAGTGCAGTGGTACAATCTCACTCACTGCAAGTTCCGCCTCCTGGGTTCACGCCATTCTCCTGCCTCCGCCGCCTGAGTAGCTGAGACTACAGGCGCCCGCCACCACGGCCGGCTAATTTTTTTGTATTTTTAGTAGAGACGGGGTTTCACTGTGTGAGCCAGGATGGTCTCGATCTCATGACCTCGTGATCCACCTGCCTCGGCCTCCCAAAGTGCTGGGATTACAGGTGTGAGCCACTGCGCCCAGCCAAAAGTTTAGTTTCTTTATAGAGCTTCTCAAGTTAGACAAAGTGAATGATGGAGATATGGCTATCAGAGACAAAGACACAGGCTGGAAGGCCACAAGTCACTGCTGGTGTTGGCCTTATTGGAGAAATTCTCTCCTAAGAGGCTTTTGGGATTAGTGCAGGTTGCTTCCTTCCATCCCAATGATCCCCACAAGGCAGCAGGCCCAGGTAGTACCATCATGCTTGACAAAAACTAAAGGAAGAATGTTATAATTTTCTAGTAGGTCTATATGAATGTCTAAACTATTAGGTCTCAAGCAAGATAATGGAACAATGAACTCTGACCTTGGATTACCAGTATCAACCCAGAACACAAAGTTCCATTTTGGAGAGAGCCATTCCATGGAAGTAAGCAGAGTGAAGCAACATTTTAGTCTCTCAGGAATCTTGCTTGGAGGAAGAATGTGCCAGGATCTGGATTTTCCTATACTTTCCCAAGATCTGATCTTTTTTTTTTCCCTGGCATTGTTATAATTCAGGACATAACCTAGCAATTTTCAAAAGCAATCAAATTACTCTCAGAGTCAATGTTTTATTAAACTTTATATCTCTAAAACCAAAATACACATGTACTGTGTGGCATTTAAGCAGGTTCTTCCAGTAACCTAGCTGTCCTCCATATGAAGCAGTTCAGAAAAAGCATCTGCTACTAGTTAATACCTTATCCCTCTAAGAAAGATGGGATGTACTTGACATTTCATTTCCAAGGTGTGATTTGCATACAGACAAGAAGATATTTCTGAAACGTTTAATGCAGACAAAATGTTTTCTGCATTTGGGAAACAAAGAGACAAATGGGTAAGGAAGGGAAGAAAGTAGGCAGAAGAAGAGAACAGGACCCAAATTTAAGAAGCATCACATTGGTTCGGTGCGGTGGCTCATGCCAGCACTTTGGGAGGCCGCGGCAGGTGGAATGCTTAAGGCCAGGAGTTTGAGACCAGCCTGGCCAACATGGTGAAACTGCATCTCTGCTAAAAATACAAAAATTAGCCAGGCATGGTGGCATATGCCTATAATCGCAGGTACTCAGGAGGCTGAGGCAGGAGAATTGCTTGAGCCTGGGAGGTGGAAGTTGCACTGAGCCGAGATCGTGACACTGCACTCCAGCCTGGGTGACACAGCGAGACTCTGTCTCAAAAACAAACAAACCCAAAGATTATTCTATTATCAAGAAACTATACTGTTTTACAGAAAGATAACTAGATTACTTATTAATATGCCACAACTCTCATGAATTACAAATGAGAAAAGCAGAGATCTAAATCAGGATTCAGACTCAAAACCTCCTTTTTTTTTTTTTTTGAGACAGGGTCTTGCTGTGTCACCTAGGCTGAAGTGCAGTGACACAATCATACCTCACTGCTCATAATCCTCCCACCTCAGCCTCCCGAATAGCCAGGATTATAGGCGTGCGCCATCACTCCAGGTTAATTTTTAATTTTTAATTTTTTGTAGAGATGGGGAGTTACTATGTTGCCCTGGCTGGTCTCAAACTCTTGGACTCAAGCAATCTTCCTGCCTCGGCCCTCCCAAAGTGTTGGGGTTAGTGGTGTGAGCCACAGTGCCTGGTCAAACCCATATTTGCTAATGTGTTATAGTTGTTTAGAAGATATTGGGGGAAATCAGCTTAATGCTAGCACTGTTTATACCCAAATATTGGAATAACAAACAATGATGGTGGTGATATAAGAAATAAATTTTGGTGAAAACCCCGTCTCTACCAAAAATACAAAAAATTAGCTGGGCGTGGTGGCGGGCGCCTGTAGTCCCAGCTACTCGGGAGGCTGAGGCAGGAGAATGGCACCAACCCAGGAGGCGGAGCTTGCAGTGAGCCGAGATCACACCACTGCACTCCAGCCTGGGCGACAGAGTGAAGACTTCACCTCAGAAAAAAAAAAAAAAAAGAAAAAAGAAAAAAATTTTGGCTGGTCATGGTGGCTCACGCCTGTAATCCCAGCACTTTGGGAGGCCGAGGTGGGAGGATCACTTGAGTTCAGGAGTTTGAGACCAGCCTGGAAAACATAGTAAGACCCCATCTCTACAAAATATAAAAATAAATTAGCCAGACATGGTGGCATGAACCTATGGTCCCAGCTACTCAGGAGGCCGAGGTGGGAGGATCACTTGAGCCTAGGGGATTGAGGGTGCAGTGAGTTGTGATCGTGTCACTATACTCTAGTCTGGGTGACAAAGCAAGATACTGTCTCAAAAAAAGTAAAATACATTTTCTTAAAAGTTAAATAGGCCAGGCGTGGTGGCTCACGCCTGTAATCCCAGTACTTTGGGAGGCCGAGGCGGGTGGATCAACTGAGGTTGGGAGTTTGAGATCGGCCTGACCAACATGGAGAAACCCTGTCTCTACTAAAAATACAAAATTAGCGGGGGCATGGTGGCACATGCCTGTAATCCCAGCTACTCAGGAGGCTGAGGCAGGAGAATCGTTTGAACTCAGGAGGTGAAGGTTGAGGTGAACTGAGATTGCGCCATTGCACTCCAGCCTGGGCAACAAGAGCAAAACTCTGTCTCAAAAAAAAAAAAAAAAAAAAAAAGGTAAATAAATAAAATTAATGAGAATCCACTTTGGCATTGAGAATTCACACTGGTTCAAGAAACCTTGCGCACTCCTACAAGTCCCCTGTTCTGTCACAGGCACCACATGAATACTCAAGCACTTGCTTGGAGACTAAGCATGTGTTCTCTCAGATCCCTCACATGAGGGTCTCACTAGGCTGGTAGAGGGGTACAACATGGCAGAATGTAATCTCTGGGTATAGGTAACAGGCTCAATTCCGACTCTGCTCCAAGCCAAACTGAGAAGCCTCTCAGAAATTTTGCCCACCTATAATTTATAACATTCTTCATGTCAGAAATAAGCTGTCATTTGTTTGCTTTAGGATCTGAAACTAATTGGAACAAATAGAACTGAAATAATCAAACTAGTATTCAAAGGGTCTCAGAGGAGTCATTGAGGACATCCTTTAGCCTCTGTAGGCTCAAAACTATTCCCTGAGGCTTGTGACACATAGGACACCACAAAGGCTGTTCAACATGGCGGCACATGGTCTGTGTCACAGAACTGCAGATTTCGGAGAGTCCAGTGGTGGGAAGACTACACTTTGAGAGAGATAAAGGGGTGAATTATATCTGTTTCCTTTCAAATCTGGTATGCTGTGCTCGCTAGAGATCTGCACTACAACAATCCTGAACACAAACTAACCAACAAAGCAGAAAAGACAATTTTAAACACGGAAGTGGACGGTAAGCACCCTAAAAGACCAGCGACAGCCTCTGAAGCAACCTACCACTGAAAAGTCCCTGTTTAAGGGCCTGTAGGCAAGTGGAGCACAGGTAAAACACAGGTTCAATTATTACTGCTCTTCCAAACCTAGCTGCACTAGAAAATCAAGAGCAAAAGTTTCAGAATCAAAGAAAAGGTACTTGATAACTGGCTGGTGCTAGAGATTCTCCCATTCGAACACAGCTATCCTTGCCAGTCAGCCTTTCCCAAAGCATCAGCTCTGGAAGTGACTCACTGCCGAGGGATGCTATTTCAATAAACAAATCAGCCACCACTCACCTGTTCACTGTAGAGAACCTGGACGTTTTTGATGATGCGACAGTGCTTCTGAAGAATGGCTACTGCCTGAGCCAGAGGCATTCCTGAAATAAAGCCAGAAACCTGTGTGGTTATTTTGGCTATACATTTATTGACATCTACCACTTCACTAGGCACTGGTCCCTATAGTAAAGCCTGGGGATGTTTAGGGGCTACTAAGGTCTACAGATACATGAGTAAATAAGAGTTCAATAAGCAGTAAGAGCTACAATAAAGTTAAGCAGCAAGCACTAAGAGAATACTTGGACTGTGCACAGGTGTCCAACTCTTTGAATGCAAGGACTCTTTTGCTTATCTGTGGTGGTGGATATCACAAAAATCATGCATGGGCCAGGCATAGTGGCTCATGCCTGCAATCCCAGCACTTTGGGAGGCCAAGGCGGGAGGATCACTTGAGGTCGGGCATTCAAGACCAGCCTAGTCAACATGGTGAAACCCCGACCTTTTGGCTTCCCTGGGCCACAATGGAAGAAGAATTGTCTTGAGTCACACATAAAAGAGACTAACACTAATGATAGTTAATAAGCTTTAAAAAAATAAAAATGTAAAATGTAAAAAAGGTCCATGCATCTTTTTTTTTTTTTTTTTAAGATGGAGTTTTGCTCTGTTGCCCAGGTTGAGTGCAGTGGCATGATCTTGGATCACTGCAACCTCCGCCTCCCAGGTTCAAGCATTTCTCCTGCCTCAGCCTCCCGGGTAGCTGGGGCTGGGACTACAAGTGTAGCCACCTCACCCAGCTAATTTTTTTTTTTTTTTTTTCACTTGGGGTCAGGAGTTCGAAACCAGCCTGGCCAACATGGTGAAACGCTGTCTCTACTAAAAATACAAAAATTAGCTGAGCGTGGTGGTACACGCCTATAGGACCAGCTACTCAGAAGGCTGAGGCAGGAGAATCACTTGAACCTGGAAGGCAGAGGTGGCAGTGAACCAAGATCATGCCATTGCACCCCCAGCCTAGGCGACAGATCGAGACTCTGTCTCAAAAAAA